CAGTAATTAAAATGTCTGGAACAGGATAATAATAAAACCCACTTCCACGCTTGAGTGGGAAAGGGGGGTAATGTAGGCACCTAGGTGTTTCTTTCAGCCCCAGACTTCCCTTCCAAGGCTGGCCAACTCCTCCAAGAAGAGGAAAGCTAAGGAATTGGAAGGGTTTGGGAGGGTGGTGGCTTCTGGGGTGCTTCTGGCCCTGGCCATGATTCCATCTTCTCTCGCAGCGCTTTCATGGGCCTGGCAGAACACCACTTGTCACCAGCACTCTCTGGGCAAGCACTGACCACCAAGTCATTCCTTTGGCACAGGAAGTTCATTCTGCTTCTGACTGGTTGCTCTAGCTCCTTCCTCTACACCCTATATCTGGAGACTAATCTCTGTCCTCTTTGTGCTGAGGTCACTTGTCTTTTCTATGCAGTCCTTTTGAGTGGGATCACAGTCAGCCCAAGCACTCTCTTAGACTTATTTTCGGTGGGAATAAATTGCTTCCCCCATTGGTTTGGTATTTAGGGCCTGAGCCACACCCAGTCCATGTTGTTCCTGAGAGTACAAGCGACACATTCTGGGTTCTGTGAAAAGTCTGCCTGAAGTCTCTCTCAGAGAGGACGGAGAAGCTGCCTTTGCCTTCCTGCTGTGGGTACAAAGTGGGGGCCTCTCAGAACTTTGTCTACAGAAAACTTCTCTAACGCACAGCACAGCACTTCTGTCAGCATTTATACATAAGGTAAGTGAGAGGCTGGGGCAGCACACCTTGCAAACCCTACATGGTGATGCATAGCACCTTGTTTGCTAAGAGTGTTGACAACTGTTGTCTTGGGGGAGGGAGAGACTTTGTCAGAATGAGAGTAAAATCACAGCTTCCATTTAACTCCCTTACCAAATGCATTCCCACTCTCTTCCCACTTGCACCTGCCAAATTTTATTTTCTTTTCCTTTTTTGTTTGTTTGTAGTGGTAGGACAGGGTCCCTTTTTAAAAAAAAAAATTTATTATTTTTATTTTTATGTATATGAGTGTATTGCCTGCATGTCTGCAAGTGCACCCGTGTTATATAATGCTGTGGAGGTCAGAAGAGGGCCCTGGATTCCCCTGGAACTGGAGCTAAGGATGGTTTGCAGCCACCATGTGGGTTCTGGGAATCAAACCCGGGTCCACTGCAAGAACAGTCAGAGCTCCCAACCACCAAGCCATCTCTCCAGCCCCAGGGTCCCTTTTTCAAGACAAGCTTTCTTGGCTGGCTTAGTATTCAATATGTAGCCCATGCTGGCCTCAACCTCTAGACAATCCTCCTGTCTCAGTTTCCCAAGTGCTGGAATTACTGGTATATGCCACCCTACCAGGCTAAGGTTTTCTTTAATAGATAGATTCTGTTAAATATCATTTCAGTAAACTTTGTGTGGTTGCTGAGTTATCATTTGTTGGATAAAAGCTGACAATAATTTTGTTATGCAGGGGTTTTATTATAATGGGATTCATTGAAATTTCACCAACAGCCTGGATTTACAGAATCTCGGGGAGTGCTATTTATGAGCTATACAACTTCAATTTTTCAAATAAATAAGGAAAATGATTTGACTCATAAACAGCAATAACAAACTGGCTGCTTGAAAGAAGGGAAATGAGCAAGAATACAGAATTTCCTTGTAATTCTAAGTGCTCTGTCATGCTTCAGTTAGAATTCACTTATATCAGAAAAAGCAACACCCTACTCAGGTGTATGGACCATTGTGCTGGTCACCAGAGGTCAGGCAGCAGACCTGTCAATAAAGATGGTGCCAAATCAGTGTCTTGTCATGGCCCTATAGAATGATAATATCCCTGAATGTTGATCTCCGTCTTATCCCATAAAATCTATGGCTGACATTTATCCTCAAACAGGCCTTAAGCCTTGCTTCTTCCACATTTAGTCTCTAACTCTGTGCCTGGCTCTTGCACCCTGAAGCATTTTGGAACTCCATCAATAGGTTGTTTAAAGGCACAGATGAATCTTAACATGCAGTTTTTGAAAGATAACTAGAAAATAACATGGAATAGTCATGTTTTCCTTTTAGCTTTTGGAAATAGGATCTTGCTATGGAGCCCAGGCTAGCCTTGAATTTGCAATCCTACTGTCTTATTCTTACCAGTATTGGTAATAGTTATGTGTGGCCATGCCCTGACTTGGCCATATATGAGTTTAAATGTCTAAGACCACATGGAATGTATAACAGACAGCAGATTTTTAATGAATATCAACTCTGATAAAAGCACAGACAAGCTTATATTTTGTTTGTCTTCAGTTTTCTTGAATAATAGAAAACAGAGCAGACGTCTCATGATATTCATGGAATCTGTTTATAGTGACCAGTTCTCTATGGCCAGTATTTTAACATATTATTCTCAACTGTCAATATCACCATCAGGAATGTGATTCATTTCACTCTCTGGGTTGATTTGGATATACATTTTGGAGATGAAGGTGGCAGTGATGTAATACTGCTGACAGTTGGCACTGTGTGCCCACTACCTTCACAAACTCAAGTTGGTTTCTTAAGCAAACACGGGCCTGGCTCTGAGTGAAAAGAAAATTAAGCTTGGAGCAAGGGTTGTCAACCCTTCCACAGAGAAAAGGAAGCAAAAGGAACTTTTGCAAACTGGAGACCACATTGCCAGGAAAGACAGTGACTGTCATGGCTGTGCCAAAAACCATGTTTGGGTTCTTTATCAAAATACACGTGTTCTAGCTAAACACGGCACACACTCATGCATGTACTTATAACCCCAAGGGCTGGGAGAGCTGAGACAGGGGAGCTGCAAGTTTGTGGCCTGCAGAGGCAACCTAGTGGGGGCCTTTTGCATAATAATTTCCTACTCCTGGAGGCTCGCAGAGCTCAGGAAGTAAATAAAACTTGCAAATCTAGGAAAGCTCAAACAAGATTCACAAGGACCCTCCCCCAAGGTTATGCAAGTAGGAACAATTGCTGGGTGAGGAGACTCCCTGCCTCTCTGTCCAGGAAGTTGTTGCAGATTTTCTTCTCTGTGCAGTTCTTGGCTCCTGCCCTGGAAGAATGAGGGTGAAGAGTGAGCAAAGAAGGCTTTAATAAGCCAAAGAGAAAGGGAAAGCTCTCAGCTGGCCAAGAAAGAGAGCAGCAGGGGAGAACAGAAAGTGGTTTGCCATTTGAGAGGCTGGGTCTCTTGGCTTCTAATAGCCTTAGATAGGCTCTGATTGGCTGGTTGTGGACATGAAAAATAGGTGAAAAGTAAAGACCAATCAGAGTGGGAGAAGTTCTCTACTAGGTTCCTTCTTGTCCCCTCTCTCCCTTTCCTTGATGTTATAGTGGATGTGGGGAGGTAAAATAAGGAAGGCAGGGTGAAACAGTCCATACCCCAAAGTTTTCCTGCTCCATTTCTTGCCCTTACCTCTGGTCACAGCCTGGAGCCTCTTCTACCTCTATCAGAATGCAGTTTGTGTGGACCATGCTGGGGTGGGCTTTTTTTTCAGTGATGCAGATGTCTTGGAGTTATTCTTGTTCCTGTAAATAGCTCCTTACCCATGCTCTGCAAGTAAGCCCAGTAAACTCATCATTTCTCAAGCTGAGCTTTGATAGAATCCTTACTTTGGATCCTATCATGTCTACCCAGAAAAGTCACAGTTTTCTGGTTGTTGAAATGAAATTTCTGACAAAAGCAACTTAAGGAAGGAAGGGTTTATTTGGGCTTATAGTTCCAGAGTACAGTCCTGGGTTTGGTCTCCATCACACACACACACACACACACACACACCAAAAGGATGAATTAGAAAGAAGTCTAGCCAAGAGGGCTCTTCCAGTCACCTTAGAAATAAGTCACATAGCTGGATGAGGTGACAAACACCTGGAATCTCAGTACTTGGAAGGCTGAGGCTAGAGGATCCAGAGGAGTCCAAGGCCCAGCTCTGTCCACAGTCAGCTTGCTCTCTTTCTTTCTGGTCTCTGCCCAGTTGTCATGAAACTGTGATCATCAGCATTTTAATAATGTCTCTCCACTTCTCAGTGTTATCCATGGCCCCCAGCAGCAGCATGCAACCATGCTTATTTCATTGTCCACACACTCGTGACTACCCCGTGTTCCAAATGCAGGGAATAGGGTTGCAGATATAGGAGACAAAGCAGGGGCATCATTAGAGCTGGGGTTTATGGTGAACCTCATGCAATTCTTCACTTTGGGGGTCACAGGCCACTTTGAGAGTCTGAGAAAAACCACAGATACTCTCTTCAGAAAAGCATTAATAAGCTAATTCCCACAGCGTTCAGCATACATTTCAGGGGATTCTATACTGGCATTAACTTTTTTGTGTTGCTCCTTTAATTGCATAGCTACTAGTCCCATTCGTTAAGCGAAGAACTGAAGGTCATTTCAAGTCTTCAAGAAGCTAACAGTCCAGTAGTCAGGACAGAACAGTGGCGGGAAATCAAGAATACATACATAATCACCAGTGCTGTGAGGGACAGAGAATTCTAGAAGCCAACAAGGGAGATTTTGAACAGGTTGAATTGAGGTGGGGTCTTAGAAACTTGTTCTTTGAGAGGCAACAGCTTTAAGTAGTTGGGTGTGGTAGAAAGCCATCCACAAGAAAAGCAGGCAGACTGAGAAAGGGAGCTTGTACAGGGCCCTACCCTGGGAGGCCAGTGAGGCTGTTTGGAACCTAAGTTAATCACGAACCTGTGATAAAAATGGCACTGGCCCATGCTGTGGCTAGGAGTCAGTGACTGTGGTGCCACTGTGAAGTTGGGGTCTGGGATGGGGGAAGCTATTAAAATGCTGGTGACTACAGTTTTATGACGATTGGGTCAAGACACAGAGATAAAGAAAGAGCAAGCTGGTTGTGGGAGGGCAGCCTTGGAGCCCTCTTCATTGCCAGGGTCAGAAGTTGGCCCTATGCTTGTTCAGTAAGATGAAAGAAAACCACGGGAGGGCACCGAGTGGCGGAGAACTGCATTCGGCTGGTGGACATGAAAATGAATTTTAGCTGCTATGAGCAAAACCCTAGGTGTGTGGACAGAAGGGAGCCACCAAGGTTACAACAGGTCAGGAATAAATAACCAGCAGGCGGAGGATCCAGGTTCCCTCCTGCCTTTTGTTAAGAGAGGAGCGTCCACAAAGGCTTCGGAAGCAGGCGGCTGGACCGTCCACACCCGGCTACAGCCTCCGGTGACTAGGAGGGACCCGGGAGGGGAGGCACCAGCCCGAGCCCACGGGCTGCTGCCGTCCGCGGGAGGCCACGCAGCGGGGACCCCAGAATAAGTCGGGGCGGGCCACGGTGCGGCGGGAGGG